TACTCCATGTCCTCGGACCGCGCTTTGTTTCTAGCTTCCTCCACTTTAAAAGTCTCCCAAACAGCCTCACAGGCAGTGCAGATATGAGGTAGAGCTTTCCCGGGATGGGGAAGTACAGTAAATGAGATGGTAACATGACCATTATGTCGGCGATATTAGATGTACAGTACTCTGCTCCCCCTCTGTTACAGCCTCCTGCCTCGGAGTGCTCGGTGCTTAGTAACTTCAAGTTTTTCATGTTATTCTGTCATTGTAGAATTACACGCTTCTCTATGAACTCAGCAAACTTCATGAGCTCCTGAAAGTCTAAGAACACATGTTTAAGTAAGGCTGCATTTCTGCCGTTCCTCAGAAATTACCTTTTGGGAAATTTACACCCAGGAGGAAATTTATGTGGATGTTACTGAAATCACATGCAGTTTAAAAAAAAATTGGCACAAATCAATTTTCTCACACCTGTTTCAGTAATTATGTGTCTGTCAGCTACAAAAGAGATTTCATGACTGAGTAACAATGAGTTAAAAGTTGCAGAACTATTTCCTCACAGATTCAATTAATTATGTGAAAACATTAAATTAGCAGTTTCCAATAACGTAAGCCAAACATTGTTGAGCAGTCTCATATTGAATCTTATTTTACAAAGTATCCTCACGCAACTGTTCATATGATAGCGCTCTACAAACGACGTTACGTAATTAAGGAAAAGTTACAGACTTCACATAAAGTTACATAGGTTAGGTTTAGGTTTGGTTAAGTATAGTTACTTTGGTTTGGCTTAGGAAAAGACACAAGGTGATGACATAAAATAAAGTATATCAAAGTTCCCTTGGTTTCACAAGGGTCATGAACAACACTCTCCTTGGGCAAAGTCCTGTGTTGTTTGACTATCCACCACCCCAACCTGCCTCCTTACGCAGACTTTCTGTCTTTATAGTACTTCCTTATTTAATCTCCTTAGCTTATTGGTCACAGCCTTCTCCTGATTATGTGGGTTATACACTAGTTACTGGCTTATGACCACGTGGATTATATACGAATTCTGGTGCATTACTTTTTGTAGGTAAACGTACGAACAGTGCATGGAAACAACATCTCAGCATGGCTCAGGTATGCTTAAATTAAAAATAATAGTCAGCTTGGTCTTTAATAAACCATTAAACCTTCTGTATGTAACACTGACTCATCCAGTGCCAGCAAAGCAGAATATCACAAAGATGTTGTATGAACTTTTGTGCTCTTAGAGGCAGGATGTCAGGTCTCTGTTGTGAACTGAGGCACACTCTCTGGCAGAGTCGCTCTGTGTGCTGAAAACACACTGCAGACTAAAAAGACAGGATATTGGATAACAAGGTTAAAATATAGGAGCGAAAATATTCTCTTATTAAACTCAGGCTGCAGGGATTTGATTTGAGCCACCTAATAGATAGTGGTTTCAAGGGAGCCCAAACAAAAGGTAACGGTCCGGTCATGCTTATGGTAGCTAATGGCAGAGTTAGAAGAAATTAGGGGATTCTTTTTCTACAGGAAATTGTACTTAAAGGCGGGTCATGGATCACCCTGCTCTTCACAGGCAGCTTCAGAAGTCAGAGAGTGAACTTTTGCTGCGGCCATTAAAAGGTCTATGTCGGAGAAAGAGGTCAAAGCAGGAACAAAACTAATTGTATTATTGGAGAAAGGCAAAGCTGTGTAAATTGATTTCGTGGCTGAAATTCATGGTAAGACAAGTGAATAAACTCTTGTCTCGTGACTCTGTAACTGTAATTAAAGAAAGTGAAGATTGAGAACAGGGCAAACCTGCACGCATATGCCAAAATAAACCAAACACCAACAAAAAGGTTTAAACTGTGAGCCACCAAGAACAGCTTCTTGGCTTTGATTCGACACGTGTCTGCAAGTTTGTTGAAGTAATTCTTCAGAAGATGTGATGGTTTGGTGTTTTGTTGATGTCAGGGGAAAAAGCTGTTTCAGGTGCTGCCACAGAAACCCCTGTGAGGGCTTTGTTGGGCCGCGAGCAGGTCCATCAATTCTCATACAGTGATCGTGATCACTGGTGATTGCTTTGTGTTTATTGGCATTTACCTCGCCTTCCAGTTGGTTCAGTGGGTCTGAGCCATGCCAGGAAAATATACCTCAAGTGTAGCCTTCATTACTTTTCACATGCAGCATAAATATGTGTGAAAAGGGGTCTACAACTTCTCTATATCTTTTTTAGTTGCAGCCCAAACCACCTGCTCACATTTTAGACTAAGCCTTCAGTCTGCTTATTAAGAGTTTTTGCTTTTTGCTTGTGTACAAATATCACAGTTTCTTTACTAGAGATGGTCAGATTCCATTTCGTGCTTCCCATAACGACTCTGATACTTAAACTTGTGTATTGGTTGATTTGGCTGATGCTAATTACTAATCTGATACCATTGCATTAAAAAATTAAAGCTGTATACTAATAACCCTCTATGACTGTGCAATGATTACTATAATTGTTGTATGGCATGGCTCAGGTTAAATCCTGTTTCAGTATTTACCAGAAATCATTTCTTCTTCTTCTTCTTCTTCTTCTTCTTCTTCTTTGAAGCAGCGAAGAACAATTGATATCTGCGAAAACTGCCATTTTATCCAGGTGTGCAACTGCTTAAAGTTTAATAATAAATTACGTGATATCGGATCAGTGCATAGACTTGTGTACTTGCTGATCCCGATCCAAAATTTTAGGCAGTATTGAGGGCATTTCCAATACTAGCATCAGTATCAGAACAGTGAATACAGTACACTATATAGTAAATAGAGACACAGATATAGTACATTCTCCCTCCCAAAGCAACAACAAAAAATAAATCCAAAAATTCTATACAAATACTCCATGAATGAGTTAAGTTCTTGTCTTTTCCTTTAACAATGTTTCCAACTCTCCAAAGCTGCATCCACATTCCTTTAGATGGTTATGTCTATATTCTTCCAGCAGAGCGGAATCATCCTCCTGGCCTGCAGAAGTTGCAAAACAGTTGTCCTCTGTCGATGTGGCATGGGGATGTTGTCTTTAGTTCAGTCTTCCACACCAACTTTATCTTAAGCTGAGGAGAAAGAGCTGGTGTTTGAAATTGTTTTTTTTTTTTCCAGTGGAGTCCCTGCCAAGTAAAAAATGCTAACTCCCTGTTGTTAGATTTATGTTGTTGAGTCTCTCTAACTAAAATAGTGCATTTAAGTAATTCTTTTTACCCTAAGTATGATGGGATATTACTGTTTAAGTATCTTACCATGCCTGTTTAGAGTTACCTGCCTTGCAGTGGCTGCTTTCTTGCGGTAGTTGTCTGCATAGTAACCAGTGATGGAGACAGTCTGTTGGCTAATGAAAGTGATTGTCTGCTGCCCTCTAGTGGTTGCATTAGTAAAGTGCCATGTGGTGTTGCAATCAGTTGTTACACATTAGGGGAGAAATTCTTGGGGAAACTGAAACTTCACATCTGTAGTAATAGTGACGCCATGCAGATGATTCATTCAGCTTTTGTAATGTAAGAAATACACTGTGTGTGCTTGTACTGTATGTGTGTGTGTGTGTGTGTGTGTGTGTGTGTGATAATGTTCAGTCAATATTTGAGCACGCAAACAACCCTTTACTTAATGTAGATCCATAATAATAACAACTGTGATGTTATTACAAGTTTCATCCTAAACTTTTGCACAGCATGAAGCCAAAAAAATATGCTTGCTTATATGCATTTATAAAACATATCAAAGGAACAGTTCAACCCAAAATCAAAAATACATATCTGTCTTCTTACCTATAATATATTTGTCAGTCTAGATTATTTTGGTGAGAGATATCATCCATAAAGATGTCTGCCTTCTCTTGGTTATATTTGACCTAGATGGCTCTTTCCAGAAATCATGAACTCAAGATATCCCAGAGACCTTGTTGCAAGTGGTTTAATGTTGGACTGTTTTCTTTCTACCAAACTACACCAGCCATCTGTCTACTCATGGATGAGAGGGGCGAGATATAAATATGAATGGCTTCCTCTTCAGCTGAGCTGTTATGTTAGGTAGTTCATTGGTGTTAGGATGAGGTAGCTGTAAATATACACTTCTCCTTGGTCTGTGGATTACCTTTAGTGACAGGGTCATGATGCTGTTGGGTTTTTCCAAATCTATTGTTTTTTTTTTTTGGAGCACAACAAGCCAAGTGCCATCTAGTATCATTATAATGAAGAGAAGGCAGACATCTCTACGGCCGATTTCCCCAACACTTTGCAACTCACACCAAAACAATCTAGATAGATTTTGGGGTGAACTGTTTGTTTAAGTTTTACAATGACCCAAAAGTGTATCATCATGTTTAAAGTCGGTTTTATTGCCCATAAATGTATAGATATGTTAGTTTAACATTAACTTTTACATCAGAACATCTATGGTAGTTTTAAGGTAGGGAGGTAACATGACCACTGTGTCACTGTTTTAAAATAAGAATGTTTTTAAATTTGAGATAGAATCTTACAGTATCTCTGAATATGAAACTCTCCAGACACACTGCACCTTGTTAAGGAAGTGAAAAAACGGAAGAAGCATATGACTCACACAGCAGGTGAACTGTATTTGTGTGTGTGTGTGTGTGTGTGTGTGTGTGTGTGTGTGTGCGTGCAGTATTTTTTGAGAACAGAGAGCAAAAGTGTATTAAAAGTGCTCCTACGTAAAATAGAAGAGGCTTTGTGTTATCTGTTTTCTGTGCCAGGGTCTGTGCCTGCCATGTCTCACAATAAACACTAACTCTTAGCTACTTCTTTCTTTTTATTTCTTAAATATTTCTTTTTAATTCTTACATTTTTGTCCTGCATAATCTACTATCTGAAAATGACTAATAAAAAACTTCCATGGGCAAGTGTAATCGCAGACATGTTGCACGACATGACACCACTGTGCTGCAGTTTCTCACTTCTTCAACTGTTTCAGGAAGTGGGGCAGTGTTACCAAAATCAGGAAACTAAGTGTTGCTATTAATACAACTGAGCAAAGGGCTATAGCTGAACGCTTATAGTCTCAGTTGAAGAGCAAAGGAGCTTGAGTAAAGGACATATTTGGACAAAGGATGCTTCTTGTGGGGTGATTTTGTGCACTTTTGAGGCTTCACAACCATGGAAGTGTCAAGGATTAAATCAGGTAGATACGACATATTTTCTGTAAATTTATTTTCAGTTGGTTGAAAGTGGTGAAAAAAACCTAAAGACAGAGATTTTTTTTAACACAATATTGATAACTCTCTTAAAATGTTTTATCCTTTCTTTTGAAATATGTTTATTTAATTAGACTTTATTTAACAAAGCTTTGATTGACAATTCTCTGTGAGTTTATAAGAAAGAGGAAGCCAGCATCTTAGCCTTCCTGTACGGTTAAATATATATGTAGGTTATTTTAGAATTTCCCACACGTCTAAAGTCAAATCATGTTATCGGTCCATTAAGAAACAGATGGCAAGTCCCTCTGCCCCGTCATCGGGGGGAACTGTGATGAAGGTGAAATAGTCAGGTTGGATTTCTTTCCCAGTTAGCATGTACAGAGGTGAACTTGACCTGATTAAACACTGTAATGAGTCAAACAAAATTACTCTGACCAGTGTTGACACAGTGCAATGTTTGCACAACTCCTTGTTGGCTCTGTGCTGAAATATCAAACAAATCGGACATTCATTCTCTAACCACAGTCACCTTGACTTTTCACAGCCGGACAGCTGGTATGTTGTGGAGCATTTCCACGACAAACATTACCTGCTGCAACATGGAGAGCAACACATAATATGACCAGTGTCATGTCATTAGCGTAATGTTTGAGCTGATTACAGTGTTGTGAATCATTTCACGTGGTCAGGCTGAATCAGCAGTGTTTAAGGAACTAATGATCAAAAGTTTCCAATTTGACATTTCGGTAGGGCAGTTCTGAGACTGTTTGAATGCATGCACTGTATGTAATAATCACACTGTAATATGCTTGTCATTTCAGGAAAATCTGATTCACTTTCAGCACCTGAGCTGTTAATTCTGCACACGACTGAGGCACAGGAATGGGCAACATATTTGCAGCAGATCTTGAAATCCTCCAGAAAATTCCGCAAAAGGTCTATTTTGCTGTACACAGTCGACCCAGCTGATCAGCACCACGGATACGACTTTGAATGTTTCCAAAGCTGCAAGTGCGTTGTGCTGCTCATCACAGGAGCACTCCTGGACATGCTGTATGACCATGAGCTGGAGGGAGCACTTCAGAGACTCCTTTATCCTCCACATAGAGTGGTGGCGCTGCTGTGTGGTGTGCCAGAGGATGAAGTACCAGCGGACTGCTTCGAAGACTGGCCCAGCTGGAGAAAACTCTATGCTGAGGACGAGCCAGCTCTTTACATCTCCACCATTCTGGAGTCCATTGCTGACAGTATGCAAAACCTATCACACTGAATTATTTCTTCTTTCCCAAAGCTTAACAGCTTACAACTATTTAAAATTCTGATAAGCTTCTTAGAGGCTCAAAGAGCAAACAAAATCTATAAAAGAGACAGATCACCTAAATTACATAAACACATATTATGGTATCTCACTTACCCATTTGCAGATTTATGTAGTAAAGGTGTGAGATATTGAACTCTGCTCCACTGCAAAGTGTCGAAAGTAAATCAAATTTCATGCCATATCTGGTGGTCAAGATTGGACAAGAAATGTTTATTTATCTTGCCTTTCTGGAAACAATGACCTGGTTAATAAGATTAATCCACAGAACTAGCAGTTTTCCCTTGATCTGCAAGTGTAATGGGAAAACTGCGTTAACTTTTAGCCCTTTAGCCCTTTCTGAATAATTGAGGGCTGAATAAAAACACGTTTAAGCTCCGCAGAAAATGTAGGTGATCATAGAACGTAGATATCTAATAATAACTAGATAGCAAACCCCAAGCTGTCGCCTGTTCAGTCTAACTGCTTGCCTGGTGCATACGCCAAAAAGAGTTTCTAGTTTCTTGGTTTACCTCCGCATTATGCAGACACTGAATATGCAAGTTCCTGCTCAGCTCATGAACTTTACATTGTGATAATGTCATACATTTTTTAAATCTCTTTTCTCTGCTCAGTAAAGTTTTTACAAATATTAGACCTCCGTGGATCAAAAATTCAGAATAGAAAGAGTCATACTTGTTTGCAGTTTGAGGTGTCATGTCAACAGTTTTACAGACGTCACTTTTATAATGGTGGTCTATGGGGAAAATGCTTTTTAGTGCTTTTTAATTTCCTTGTTTTTTTTTTTTTTGTTTTAATTTAAAGGCAGACAAGTTGAAGCTGAACATGAGAGCGAAGCTGTAGCAGCAGCAGAGTTTCAGGTCACAGCAGCCTCTCCAACTGAAAATCCAACCACTGATAATACAGAGGAAGTGGAGTCAGAACAGCAACAAGAAACTGTCTTGAAGGGTGAAGAGGCAGTGAGCACAGGGAATTCAACGATTGGGGAACTTAGTTCACCCACGCAGCTCACCTGTCTTACCGTTCAACCAAACAGAGTTCTGTGCGGGGTAAGACTGAAGTAATAACATCATAAAAACATCAATGATAATATAAGTATGAATCAGAGCTTATGTAGCGAGTGTGTTAACAAACAGTAGTTCCCACTTTTTCTTAACTTATTGTGTGTGAGAAATAATTAAATGCAGAAATATTTATCATGTCCTAGTTAAAAATAATTACTGCAAAGCTATATTAATTCTGTTTTCCCTTTTTTTAAAGGATCGTGAGAAACTTTTTATCATTTTCACGCATAAAGTAGATGATGGGTCAGTACCTCAGGTGGAGTTTTCACCTGAAAATGGAGCTGCAAAAAGGGTCCTAGGGACAGTGGAGAATGAATACACTATAAGTGTTGCTGCACCGGGTAAGTATCCCCAGGAAATCATGTGACCACAAACTTTTCAGTGTTGATGGCAAGATCTTGAAAACTTATATCACTGTGTTTTCTGTATTTTTTCCCCTAGATATGCCTGTCGGAGTGGTTTCACTCACCATGTACACTGACCAGTCCTGTGTCAGCCTGAGTCCTGTTACATATTATACAAATATGCAAGAAGTCAGTCGCTGTCTTGAAAATGCTACTGATCCCGTTAACTTCATCTGCCAGGCAAGACAATATGTCTTATAGTAAACAGTGTTGTTTTTGCCAATGTTAGTAGCTCTCAAGTTTATGTAAGTTATTTTGTACTTTCAGGCCTTCAACTTGACGTCCAGTGCAAAAGAATCTCTGGACAAAATGCTAACTGACTCGCTAAAATCCAGGATGCCTGCCACTAGCCTTCAGCTATTTGGAATCAGACAGATTGAAGAAGACAATATGGCGACATGTGAGTACAAAACTCTGATTTCTTGTTCTGTTAATTGCCAAAGCTGATGTATTTGGGGTCATTCACCAAATAATTTCTCAAAGTTGGGGGCAGATGTGCTGTTGTTGCAAATGTATCCTGAGAACATATCTGGAAGTACTTGAAAGCATAATTATCCAGATCTGCAAAGCCTGTTTGTTCTACTATAATGAAACCTCAGAGAATGCAAACAGCTTTTATGAGTCAATACACAGTCATTCAAATGGTTTTATCTGATTTGCTTTTTGTCCTTCAGATCAGCGTAACGAGGAGCTTCCCACGCTGCTTCACTTTGCTGCTAAGTACGGCCTGAAGAAGCTGACCACCATTCTCCTTCAGTGTCCCGGGGCTCTGCAGGCTTACAGCGTGATGAACAAGTCTGGAGACTACCCAAACACGCTCGCGGAGAAGAGTGGCTTCTCTGACCTCAGACAGTTCATGGATGAATTTGTTGTAAGTCCAGTGGTGAACTTATTTTTATGTAGTATCCAACAAAGTGTTTTTCTTCTGACAGTCAGGTTCTTGGATCTTTTTACTCATTGTCTGCCTCTGTTGTGTTCAAACAAATTTAGGAGACAGCAGACATGCTCAAGTGTCACATTGAGGACTCAATCAACACAGAGGAGGGAGTAGAGGTGTATGAGTCGATGTCAGCTGCCTCTCAAGATATCATGATGAAGTACTCAGGTTGCTCAGAGGACATATATGAGTCAATGCTTGGGATTAATCCAGAATGTGCAGAGGACCTATGTAAGACTAACATGTGTTTGTTTTTCAGACTAAATGTGTGGTTAAACTGTTGCTGATACTGATGATGTTTTTTGTTGTTGTTTTCAGATGAGGTGATGACTGCAGTAGATGAGAACCCAGAGGAAGCTATGCTTAGGAAGTTCTTCCAAGGTACGCATTTTAATAACAATGATCTTAAAGGTCCAGTGTGTAGACTTAAAGGGAAACAGAGGGGTTCAGTGGCATCTTGTGGTGAGGATTGTAGATTCCAACCAGCCGAAACTTCACCTGGCAAGAATTCTCAGTCCCTTCCTCTCCAAAACAAACAGACTCTGTGATTAGAACTGGTAAGAAGACTGAATAAAGCAGTTTAATGTTACAAATCAGGGTTTCTCCTAAGCTGTTCAGCACGTGGCAGATTGGCCGCTAGACCAGCACCTCAGACCTCAACTTTTTCTCTGCTGTCTCTGATAACTGAGGTTTTTACAGTCAGGTTCTTTTTTTAAACTATCTGGAGCTGAATTATCCACGGAGCTCTCTTCCTCTCCAAAACAAACAGACCTGGTGATTTAAACTGGTAAAAACACTGAGTGAAACAATTTCATGTTTAAAAATTAGTGTTCTGACACTGCTCATCACAGAGGGGCTGCTTACTACGGTGGTGGACGTGAAACCACAAATGGCCCTATCTAGAGCCAGTTTTTGTGTTTTTTTTCCATTGTGGGCTACTGCTAGTAACATGGCAGGGCAACATGGCAATGTCTGTGGACAAAAACCCGCTTCCTATGTAGATATAAATGCCTCATTCTTAGGTAATGAAAACACAGTGATTCTTGATTATACACTGAAGAAAATATCCTTATTATATTATTCTCCATTTTTGCCAATATAACTCCCGAAATCCTACACACTGGACCTTTAAATGGAAACATTTATAATATGGCACATTAAACGTAATATAGTATGGGTAATGCAGTTACATTGTGTCCCTCAGCAAAACCACATGCCAGTGTAAACAAGGGCAACAGCGAGTACCTTAAAAATGAGGAAGAGGAAAAAGACAGTCATAATGACTTAGATCAAATTGAAGAAGAGGAGGATCCATACGATATCTTCCCAGAGGATATCTATGATACTGTGGATGCAAATGGCACCTATAACCCAAGAATCCTGAACCGTCCACCAGCCCCCATCCCCAGACCTGAGCCTGAGTCTGAACCTGAAAAGCCTATGACCTACATCTCTAGAGGTAATACGCTCTTGTCTCTTTTTCTTTCACCAAGTATTCTCTCTACACATCAAATTTAATAAAATTTCTCTCCAGACAAAAATAGATAACACAATATTTTTGAAAGTATTTTCAGATAAAGGTACGTCGCAGAATAAAACAATGGAAATGGGATATCCTGCAGGTAAAGCACATTTTAATTAATTGAAAATAGCACTGACAATCTTTTTTTCAAGTCTGTTTTTAATCAGTTACATTTTAAGTTGATTTGACCACCGTAAAACTGTTGATAATCTCACTGGTTGTGTTCAGCCTCATTGTGGATGGAGCCAAACACGTATATTTTTTTGTTTTGTAAAATATTGAAAAGGTAAATTGAACAGGCAATTTACTACACTGAAATTTGTTAATTAAAGAAGGTTGAGTTAATTATGAATTAGGAAAATATTTAGGTGATTTAATCATGTAAACCTCTTTTCAAATTTGTGGAGTCCACAAACCAGTGGGTGACATCATGGTTGCTGCGTCTAATTTTTTTTATACAGTCTTTGGTATGGGGACAGTGAGAGTGGCCTGTAAAAAAAAAAGATGCATAACTTCCAAATGGATTCACAGACTTGCACAAGATTTTGTGGAAAGATTTGTTATGAGCCAAAGGATAGCTGATAGCCAGTGGGGAGGGCACAGTGGGTTATGAGCCCATAACAAAAAGGCACTTAACTTCTAAACAGATTCACATTACATAACCAAACTCAAACTCAAACTCAAATTCATGCTTGTTGATTGCGTGTGGGCCCTATTAGCATAACCACCTCGTTTTTTTGTAGACAGTGATTGAAAATACAATTTGCTGTTCACATTTCTTGTGCAACTGTAAGAGAGGAGATAGGCGATATGAACACTATTTTTGAGAAATGTCAGTCAGGGGGAATTACCCTTTCGGTTCGAAGTTTTAACTGGTTTCACAAGTCCCTATACAATATACTGTGCTTATTTTGGCAGGCTGGTTAGGCAGGTTGTTGACTTGTACCCAGAGACACTACAGACCTGATCAAAATGCTGTGCTTCACACATCAGTGCCTCTTTGACTCTGACTTTTACTTTCACTTCATATTTTCTGCTATTCATGGGCATGAAATAATGCAGAGTGCAAACATTCACATTGGTTGATAACTCCTCTGTTTTTGTTTAATGTCAACCTTTTCCACCCATTCAGCTCGGCCTGCGGTGGATGCCCCCTCTTCTGTTTATGACCCTTATGCTGGGATGAAGACACCTGGACAGAGGCAGCTCATATCTCTGCAGGAGAGGGTGAAAGTGGGGGAAATTACTGTGGATGAGGCCGTCCAGGAGTTCAAGGCCTGGCAATTTGACCATGAACGGAGGTCTAGCTCCATACGCTATCAGCAGGTACGTCTGCTCTACAAACTTTATGGTCTGTCAGGTGCTGAGTAGTGCTCAATAAATAGATCTAACATGTGTTGTGTGTGCTTTTTTTCTTTTTTCTTAAGGAAAATCTGAAGAAATTACGAGACAGCATCACCAGACGTCACAAAGAGAGAGAAAAGTCCGGAAAGGACCTTGGTATAATAATTATTTTTTAATATTTATTTTATTTATTATGAATGAACTGGCTCTAATGCGGCTGTAATATTTATGTACACAATGAACTGACTTTAAGTGTGTTTTGCAGTTATTCGATGATTAATTCATGGGCTGTGCAAAGCAAAAAAAAAAAACATCCTGTTGTTATAAAAAGCGCTAATATTTGATGTGATCTCTCCCCTCTTAGATTACGAGATATCTGCTCCGCTGCAGAGGAGCTTGGGCTGGGGTTCCGGTGTGACATTAGAGTGTGCTGTGTATGAGCCAGCACCCAGAATGGTGGCACCACCTCCTCCAGCGACTCAGGTTATCCAGAGAGGCAGCTGGAAAACAGGCAGCACGTCCAGCACATCCAGTGAGTCCGAATCCTTCTTTATTTGTTTGTTCTGCAACACCGTGGCTCAGTGGTCAGAACCACAGACTGTATAAAAATAATGGATTAGCCACAGTGATGTCAGCCATTGGTTTGTAGACTCCTCTAAGGACTGCTTTGAAAGACTCAAGTTTGGCATTTTGCCATCTTGGATCAAAAGTGATCATGTTTGGAGAAGAGGGTGGAGCCCGAGAACACTATCTGTTGACAGCCTGTCATTTAAAGCGACCCCACCCTTCATTAGACATAACTTTAAACTGTAAAGTATACTATGCAGAATTGTCAGTTTTTCACCAGCGAAAGTGAAGGTAAAAGCCAACCCCACTTTCACTCTTGTTTGGCGTTTCACCTTGCAATATTTGCATTTTTTATGTGCTGTGTCTCTTTGATGCATGCTGCTTCAGTCTGGCACCTGGTTACTACTTTTTTTATAAAGCCCCAACCTCACCGGTGTGCTGTGGGGTGCCCACAAACATCCTGAGCACAGAGAAAAGGAGAAAATACAGGCGAGAAGATTCTCTACAGAAAAATACACTGCTACACACTTCTAATGGGTCATAAGTGATATTAAGAGAGGTTACTTATGTATGAGTTTATACATTGTTTTTAGGAAAATCCTGCACATCCTGTATATCTTTAATAACATTCAAACAGGTGACTGAAAAATTCACCTCCCATACTGTTGTTATGAAAAGGGAAATTAGCTATAGAGACCAATGCTGGGGTACCAGGCTGTAAATATGGTCATTTCTGCTGTAAATATGGGCATTGCAACATGGTGGTCTCAAGCCCGGTTCTAGGCAGGCATATATGAGGGGGCAGTCATAAATGTGAAGGGGGCATCATGCTCCAGCAGTTTTGCCGTAGGTAGAGCTGACAAATAAAAGTCACTCACTCACTCACTTGCAGGATGTGGGGATGCTGTGTGAGTGCCCTATGGAGGGTGTCAAAGCACCGTGGTCTCAAATGTGCTCGCCGCTTGTTTTGTTATTGATAACAGTGTTTTCTACATGGAATTAGGTTGTTGTTAGCTGTGTGTCCAACCCCCAACCTAAAGAAATGGATTGCACTTTGTCAGGCCTCTACCCTAAGACCTGTCCAACTTGGGTGTCCCATCTGAAGACTAAGCTCCTGCTGGTATAGCTCTTAGGGTCACTGAGGCATGCAGACCCCCTGACCACGATACAGTGGCAATCTCTCAGGGAGGAAAACTGAAAAATAAAATAAACAAAAAATAAAATAAAAATTAAGAAAAAATAAAATAAAAATATCCTTCATCCAGGCACAACCAACATCTTAACATTTATCTTATTGGATGGCCATTAGGCATCTAGACATATGAAATAAATTTGAACCTAATAATTACAATAACCTCACTATAGCCAGTATTTACCAAAATAACCAAAACCAAACTAACAGAACTAACAAACACAACAGATATAGGCTAGAGCAGAATATTTTATATTTTTTTGTTTTGTTTTGTTTTGGGGGTTTTTTTTGGTCCTTTTTTTGTTGTTTTTTTTTTGTTAGCAATTTAACAGATTTCTCTTCACTCCACTCTCCTTTGAGCTGCTGAAAGCTGCAGGACTGAAAAGTTAATAAAAGCTTTGTAAAAATCGCTGTGATTATCAAAAAAACAGCATGCAGAACTAGAGGCTGGGCGGGGCTTTATGTAGGGGTCTGGCACACACAGGGCATTTGTCCTCAGCATGTGACATGCAGCAGGCACTCATCTCTCGCTGTGCTTGTGTGATTAAAGAAACGTTCGCACTGACAGGCTCACTCTCTATGCTCACACTGCTATATTTACTTTTGTTTTTTGTTGTTAACTATATATTAAGTATCTCACGACACGAGACGCTTCACTTTACTGCTGCATTCTGCCTCACTGAGACTGAGAAACCTGACGCCGATGCATCTTGGCTCATTTGCATACTAAATAGTGATTGGGTGTTTACTGGGGAGAGGGTCTTTGCAGACAGTAGATCACACACAGCCGGCACAAAGCACGGAGTGAAGTGGAGACAGATGAGAAAACTTTTCTGTTTTGTGCCTTTTTCGGCGGATTTGATTTGAGGGGGCAAGACATTTGTTTAAGGGGGCATTTCCCCCTCTTGCCCCTGCGTAGAACCAGCCTCGGGTGGTCTATGGGGACTGACTCGTTTTTGGGGTCAGCCTCAAGTGGCTATTAAGGGAACTGCAGTTTTGGCACATAGCTTCATTTTTCAGCCCTTGAGGTTGCTGTTTGCTCAGATATGTAACTAAACAAGACCAAAGTGCAGTTTCTCAGCTCTTGCGCTTTCTTCTTGTGTCTGCATAGCTTTCTCTTCACTTTCCAATTACATATCTGTCAGGAGCAATGTTGAATAAACTACTTTGAGTGACTGTTGTTTTGTGATGGACTGGTGACTTGCTATTGGTGTCTGCACCTGCTTGCTTGTTTGAGTCTCCACATGATGCAGGCAAGCAGGAAGAGAAAATAGCTGTTTATTACGCACTTCATAATTTTATGTGTCCCTTTGGTTTGTCTTAAAAAAAGTGAGGAGATAGAGCAGAATTATTGACTAAGGACTCCCTGAATCCCAGTTCTGATCATCAGTCAATCCTTTCTATACATCACTCTCAGGTTGTTGCTAAATGAACTCAGAAGGGATGCTCAGGACTTGCATAGTGGCACTTGGAGGCAGCAGTGATATTTGAGGCACCAACATGTGAAACTGTTGCAACTTTTTATAAAAAAAGCTTGAAGGTTTTTTTTGTCCTATTTGCCCAACTGGGCACCAGTTTGGCAGTGGGAGGTAAAAATGCTTGAAGTTAAATCCAGTGGAATAATCCAAAACTAGATTAAGAAGTGGACTGAACAGACTTAACTCTAGAATGTTTTTTTCATACCAGCAACTAAAGGGATGTTTGTCAATAAGCACATTTCTTCTGACTTCATACTAAATAAGACACTACGTTATTCCTGTGTCCTGCCTACCTTTGTCTAAAAGAAACGGTAATAGTCATGATAATGGTTACCATCCCATTACGTGTGAGAGATATGAACGCTTTAGATTTCCTCCCTTACATTTTTAGGTTGAGACCTTTTCTCAGAGCTTTGTTTCACAACACTTAACAAGCCATAGCTTCCTTATTTTGTTTCTTTACAGTATGACACACAATGTGTCAGGTATTTCTTTTGGTGGCCTGTTCCTGAATGTGGCTGTTGCTCAGTTGCAAGGAAAACATGGATTTCCCAGTAGTGTCTTTTAATTCCTGCTAATCAGAAACTACACCCTCACAACCACTTCTGAAAAAAAGACTTAACACCCTAAACTTGACATACTTACAGATAAATCCTGCTATGACTGCGCCCTTTCGCTATGATGTCTTTCAATCTGTTAACACTCCCTCTATGAATGCGAACGAGATCAAATACGAGAAAATACAGGGAAAACACATCTCTGAGGAGCTTTGGGTAATTAGTCTTGAGGAGATTCACACTTGTTCTGTTTATTCTAGGCATGGTCTCAGATTAAAAGTCATTCACAGACTCAGTTATTCAAAGACAAAATTACACACCTGATTTCTGGAAAACTCTCCAGACAGCAAATCAGCTTCAGTGCTTTGCCCTGTGATAGATGTCAGTGAACTACTTCTATTGGCCCATATAACATTTTGAATGAGTTGTTTCAGATTTCACTTTTACACTTATAGAGAGTTATAACAACAATCCTTCAGCTGCCAACCATCCTACAGCTGAGCTAAAAAAGAAAAAGTGTGTTTTAGAGGAAACAGAATGTTCCCACAGTCAGATTACTGTTTGACAAACTCAGGTTCTTTGTTAAAGACGGGCCTTGGCTAAGATCTGTCAGCCTCTTATCAGAGACATAATTAATCCTTAACAGTCACGGTATGTTTAAGTTATATTGTTTGTTCTTTCAGGGTTTTTCACGACTACTTTTATGTTTATATTGTTTTCATATGAGCTGGCTTAGAATAGTATGGGCATGGAACTATTGTTCAGTATGAATTCTTAGTTACTTGTATTTTTTATGAAGGAACTGCTACTTTAATCTCCTGTGCTTTGTATCATTTTTTTTCCACAAAAGCTTGCTTAAAGCTAAATAAAAATATCAGAAAATTGCATGTAAATATCAGAAGAGCTCCAACATCATGCTTTCAAATGCACTGATAGGTTGCCAAAGTTCGAAGAATTTGCCTCATGATTCTCAAACCCGTGGAATGAGTCTGTCTGTTCTCTGTTTATTCTCACTGTGATCGCTCATACCTCTCCCTGCAGACATGTTGTACACTGTAACATCTTTGTTGCAAGACTCAGACAGATATTTTTATCCACATTTGGTGAAGTGGTCTTACAGCATAATTCACCACAAGCACTAACCTCAGAGAAACATTTGCAATCACGTGTCTTATTTCCGCATTAACCTTGTGTTCCTTCTCACCAGGTACTGAGAGCAACAGACTAAGCACTCACAGCACCTTTAGCTACAGCAGTGGGACAGAGCCTGACTTTGAGGTGAGCTCGAATTAACAACATGAGCGTTTGCATTTTCACTGCGTGTGAAAACAGCAATCCTCACCTGACACAAACGTAACTCCTTCAGCATCACAAAGTGTTACACTGGACAGTTAGCCCCTCAATGACAAGCTTTTAATGGCTGAATTAGTGTCTATACACCAATGCAAGATCCTGCCCATTGGAAGCAACTTGGGGTTCAGTGTATAGCTCAAGGGCACTTCTGCCAACCTTGTGATTAAAGGATAGCCCGCTCTTCCTCCTGAGCCACAGCAGCCCCATTTCAAGCAGAAATGTCAAATACTCTCTAGTTAGCTTGTCATTTGTGAAGATTTGCTGCATTTCTGGATGTATATACTGTATAGATCCATAAATGCTTGATATACTGAAGTATTATACTGTTGGTCGGACAAAACAAGTACTTTAAAGATTTTGCCTTGCACTTTAGTGAAATTGTAATAACCTTAGATGACTAAATTATTAATCGATCAATCAAAAATAAAAATTAAAGATTAGATTCAGTAATCAATGCAGGCCTATGGACCTTCATCACACCCTTTTGACATGAATACGGGGTTCCAATAAGAGCATCAAAATTTAAATCTGCAGGAAAAAACCCCATCACCATTCTGATTACAGCCAGTCAAGTGATTTCTGAGAAACCATTGAGCAATACGTGACAAGCTTCAAAGATTTCACAAGAAAGAAAATGTGGGTCTTGCAGTTTGAGTACTTTAACAACTTTTGAAACTTCAAGTAGATTTGTACTTGTAAGTATTTCAGGAACTGAAGAACTGACGTAGCCAGTGACTACGGAATAAAACTGAACACTAGACTTTGTCTGCCTCGTGTAGACATGTCATGGATGTTACTAGTGCAGAGGACAGGGTCGAGTGTGCCACACCACAAGAGCAAGTGAAGATTCAATTTGGTTTATGAGTGTGAGTGCAGATGGATGAGTGAGAGGTAAATTGTGAAGCGCTGAAGTTAAAGGCACTATATAAACGGAGCTCATTTACATGAAAAATTACCTAATCTATTTATCAATAATCAAAAAGGTGTGGATGAAATTTCCATTGATCCGGTAATTTATATATTGTTTTTTTTTTTCTAAAGGACACAATAGAAAATCTTCCTCCCCCACCACGACCTCCGCGGCCCTCCGATGCTCCTCCCATTACTTCTCCACCTAGAATTCCTCCACGGATCCCAGAAAGGTTAGTTTAAAGACCAGTGAATGTGTTTACTGATGTTACTATGCCCAACAGTACAGCACTGAGCAATATGCTTCAATACAATTGTATATAAAACAATACGATACAGCAAATATATCGTATTACAACGTGGCAATGTCTAATAGCAATTCTAATAGAAGTGTAGGAGTAAGAGTGTGGACATGTGACAGAAAAAATATAGAGAGACCAGTATAGAACCTGCAGGTTGCTATAAGTGACAGTCGTAATAAAAAGGAAATGTTCACCCATCAGTGATTCACAACTGTACATTTCAGCATTTTGGAGGAAGCCAAAGTGAGACAGCGTTGAAGGCGCTAATGTTCATTCTGTGAAAACACATAAATATCTACACAGAGGTGAGAGAGCACATATTGAGAACATTTTAAAAGCTCAGATCAAAGTGATGCTAAAAGTGGTCTGATTGTTAACTATAACGGCACTGAATTCCTGTAACTTTCAGAAACTCAGCAGTCTGATTATCTTAAATGATAGAGGTCTTATCTTCAAAAACTAATGTGGGTAACATCTCAGTGTGTACCACACCATACCAGGTATAAACTCTGATACACCTCTAGTTTGTTCAGTTGTTGAACACATATTTATGGTATTATAGTGTGTTGTATATGTCATCTTTGTTTCTTGTTTATGATGCCATTTGTACATGAAGAATCTTACTTCTTTGTGAACATTAAGTCTCTAAACGTGTGTGTGTGTGTGTGTGTGTGTGTGTGTGTGTGTGTGCGTGTGTCAGAGAGGGAGATGTTTCATCAGTCTGTTCAGTTGGCATGCAAATACAACAGTAACAGAGTAATATGGCAGTTGCATGTCTGGCTTTTCGCATAAGCGTGATGTTGAAATCCCAACAATGCATTAATCATCAGCCAAGTTCAGCAAACTTCAATAGCTTAGTAGTTATTTGAATCGAGAAATTTAGAATGGACTAAGTAATGTTTCAGTGGCACGGTGGTGCAGTGCAAGAACCCTCTTGCTGTGAGGGGACAATGCTAGCCCTGGGGTGGGGGGAGCACTTCTGTGTGGAGTTTGCATGTTCTCCCCATGTCAGTGTGGGTTCCCTCCAGGTACTCTGGCTTCCTTTCACAGTCCAAAGACATGCAGGCTAGGCTAACTGGTGACTCTAAATTGCCTTTTGGTGTGAATTTCAGCATGAATTGTTTGCCTGTCTTTATGCATCAGCCCTGTGATAGTCTGGTAAACTGTCCAGCACCCTGTTGCACCCCACTTCTTGCCCAGTGTCAGCTGGAATAGGTTCCAGCACCCTCACGACCCCTAACACGATAAGCAGTTACAGATAACGAATGAACAAATAAATAATGTTTCTTAAATAAATGTAGGCATCATAATAATGAATCAACTGCATTTGGAGATACATAAAGAGAGAAGTAGCCTATCACTGTTTAAAATTAAATCAAATGAAATGTTAAATGAGATCACGAGAAAAAAACAAACTATATGTTGAATTAGAGCATTGAGTTTGTCCCTGTGTGTGTGTGAGTGTGTGTGAGAGCGAGAAAGAGAATGTGACATAGAGAGGGGAAGTGGAAGGTGAACTAGTGCACACTGTCTCTTTCAGTTATTAATAACTTACTCTGCCTGCTGCTTTGTCACTTTGACATTTGGTGTTTTGACATTTTTCTAGCAAGCATACTCAAACCTGTCGCATCACTACCACTTATAGCGCACAAATTTATAACCTCTTAGGTGCCTGTGGGTCAAACGCACATATTTTGGGTTGGTAAATTATCCCTAGCGTAATAAATTTAATTCCATCCAAATTCTTTTTAGGGTTGCTTATCACATTTTCTGAATTAATTATTACTTTGTGGGCCAGAGGGAAAGCTTTGGCAGGCTGCAAGTTACAATCACTGACCTACACCATGCCAAGAAAGTTTGAGGTGCTGGTGTGTCTGATGAGGCCGCATGTGTGAACTTGCGAGTTTAACTGAAAGTGATGATTACACAGTTATCCACCCTTTACTGTATACTGTATGTACTGTTGCTGTTGCATTATAGTCAATGACCTCATGAAACTGTCTGTTTCCCATAGGGTGCCAGAGAAGATGCATGAGCGCTACATATCCTGCCCGACGCGAGCACTTCCTCAAAGACCCACTCAGAGACACACAGACGCAGCACCTCCTGTACCTCGCCGCCTGCGGTGATTGACACATCGGCTTCTGCTGAATTTAGATTATAAAGTTAGAAGTATTTTAATAGAGATGGAGAAGTTAGAAAGACAGTGTAAACAAATAGGATTTTGACAAGATAAATACTCACACAGAGACAGTTTTTTTTATTTTGTTTGTTAACCTTTTATTGATTTATGTATCATTGTGTTGGTGTGTGTGTGTGTGTGTGTGTGTGTGGGTGTGTGTGGGTCTGTGATATTCAGTGTTTATGCTGTCATATGTTTTATTGTAAAAACGTGTGATGTTTTTCACCTGTAATATTTCTGGAACATTTAGATTTTACTGTCATTGTCGTTAAGTATCCTAACAAGACTTCTTATAGGTTTAGAGTACTTTAGTTCTGTTTGTCATAGGTTTAAAGTGTCATGTGTTGAAATATTGAAAATGTATTATTATTTGTTACTATGTTATTAGAAATCCTTCCTTTTATTTTGTATGTTCATACTTAATTGTGAATTGTTTTGCTATTATATTGTACTTATTTTACCTCAGATGATGTCACCATTATACTTTCTGAAGGGCTTACAGTTTGGAGGCAATATTTGTATATCTTTTTTAATAGCGAAGAATTCATTCATGGATGATCAAATGAATGAATGAAAGCCTTTAGAACGTCAGATTTGTTGTACATCAGACTTTATGTAGCTTCTTCTTTTCATAATGAAATATAAAGATAGTTTATTTGAATGAGTTCTTGTTATTGTGATTGGCTGCTTTGCAACTCCCATTGGTTTTCTGGTGCAATATGAGATTTGGTCACTGGATGGTGCTCCATATTCTTCGTTTAAAGGTGGGTTTCACTTACATATTTGCATTTGCACTTACATAGTTCCATTTATGTGAACACTTTTCCAAGTTGATTTGATCTCATTGAGCATGCAACAATTTAATGGAATTATATATTACTTCATTGTTATGAATATGAATGAAGTCTGACTGCCCAAACTGTCCCATCTACAGCTCTGGGATGGGAGACACATGTACAAAGTGTGAGGGAGTGTTACCAGCCAGGACTTCTGGTTAAAACTTTCAAAGTAAAGTCTTAACTGATGAACACACAACATTAAAGTGAAAAATATATCTATATTTCCGACAACATTTGTAGTAGCACAGCTACAGGCATGTTTTGTTATTTTATCACTTGCTCTATAGATTTAGGGTTTAAAAAAGTGTTCATCTTATTTCTAATTTTATTCCTCACTGATCAGCCAAAACATTAAAACCACTGACAGATGAAGAAGATAACTTTGATCATGTCCCAGACTGCTGGGAAACCTTGGGTCCTGGCATTCATGGAGATGCCACCTGACACACTCAACCCACCCAAGCCCTGCAGTAAATCAAGTACACACCTTCATGGCAACAACACTTTTTGATGGCAGAGGCCCCATACCACACCGCAAAATCTGCTCAGGAATGACCCGAGGAACGTGACAAAGAGCTCAAGGTATGACCCAGCCTCCAGATTTCCCAGATCCTAATCTGATTGAGCATCTGTGGGACATGCAGTACCAGACTTCACAACCCACAGGACTCAAGGATCGGCCCTCAGCACCCCGGTGCCACAGGTAACCCTCAGAGGTCCTGTGTCCATGCCTCCACAGGACCAAAGGTTTCCCTGCAGAACACTGCATTGTAACAAGATTATCAGTTTTATTCACATCCCTCACTAGTAGTTTTAATGTTCTGGCTGATTGGTGTATGTAACAGTTTTCCAGTCAGTAAGAATGTGCTCAAGTTTTTTGTTGTTCTTATTTAATTATTTATGAATAATCCGCTTTAATGCTTTGACTGTTACAGGTGAAAGGTAGAGGCTAGCATATACATTTTACAGATCAGATCTTAATTTGTTAGTTTCTTTGGAAACCAAAATTAGTCACCAAGTGTCTTTCCTGTGACCTGTGTCACACATGCTGTTGCCTGCATCTACCCAAATATGACAAAGGTCATCACAACTCTCAAAAAATTCATTTTCTGGTTTGACAACGGAAACTTTTGAAGCTAGAAAAAATTTCAGTAGCACAGTACTATATTTTGAATCCATCAGTGGGTACATTTTAGTTGTGAGACAGTGAATCATGATGACACGTACTGGATTAAATCAGATCTAATATTAGTCAGGCTCATTTGTAATACTGTAAACTACATATGGAATCGCCATTATAAAGTTTAGGTTATTTGTCAGTGCATCTCTTTTAGAGCTGCAACAATTAATTGATTAGTTGTCAACTATTATATTATTCACCAACTAATTTGATAAGTGAGTATCTTTGGGTTGTGGACAAAAGACATGAGGATGTCATCTGGGGCTTTGACACTGATTGACATGTTTCACCATTTTCTCACGTTTTATAGACCAAACAACTAATAGATTAAACAAGAAAAATAATTAGAGAGATTAAAGGGTAAAAAAAAAGTACACCCATTTTCAAAATCCATACATGTTATTCCCATGGTCTAAGACAGTCCAAAATATTAGTAAAAATGAACAACTCTTCCAAATCCAAAAGCTAGAGTACTAAAACTCAAATTTGTAATGTCATCAAGTATAAAGTCTGGAGCTGCTCCAGAGACAATGAATTCACATGACATTAGAGAAAATCAATTTATTGTGTTAGTCTGACTAAAACCTTTTAAATACATGTACGTAAACAAGTTTGTCCAACTGAATTTGTTCTAATTCACATTTCTTAAAGTCGGGCTAACACACCCAGATAACGCAAGTGAAAGTTCAATTACTTCTGCATGTATACAGTCAGTCTGACCCTAACTGGCTGAGGCACTCGGCGCATGCTCCACAGTTTCTACCCTGGTCTTTGTCCTGAAAGTCAAATAGCATTAAGTCTAAGAGAAGAAGAAGCTGGTAACAACATGGCGAAATCTACATCCGGAGCCATGTATATTTGTACGGATGAAGAGTACAGAGCCATAAAGTTGTCCACAATGGTACCAGTTTGCAGCTAGCTAACCGTAGCTAATTTGTTTGCTGATTGTTTGGTCTGTGACGTAATAGGTCAACTGGAAAAAGCTCCAATACTAACAAGCTGATAGGGGGTCACCTATGGTAGTGGAGTCGGACGTACTTCGGTCAGTGAATAGATCCCCCTACCGTGCTTGTATACTGACACAATCACAGTAAATAGCCTAGTTGAGTCATAACTGCTCGACTTAACTGTGCATGTAAATGTACTGAATGAGAACAGGTAGAGGAATGTTCTGAGTATATGGATATGTTTTCTGTTTCATAACGGAGAACACTACAATAGAACAAAGCTCATTTTGGATATAAAGAAGGAAAACAAACTGCTGGTTCACAAAGTCAGGCTCCTATTCACTGTCATCTATGGAGCAAGCCCAGACTTTATACCCTATAACATCACAAGTTTGATGTTACTTCTCTGGTTTCTGGCTTTGAGAGAGAGTAGTTTATGTTCACGTATACAGTATATTGATTGAACTTTCCCAGGCTATGGAAATAGCATATTGGAATTCTTCATTTTTGGTGGTGTTCCCCTTTAATTGTTGGCTAACATGGTAGTTATGAACTTTCCATTATAATATGTCAGTGTTGTGTTCATAGCTTGTTCAGCTGGTCAAAAGACATATATATTACTACTATTTTAAGTGAGAACAGTCTAATGTGGCTATAGCTCTAACCTTTATGTCGGTTTTATCATGCAGTGACTGAGTCCAGGCTTTTATTTTGAAGGGACGGCGGCCCAGCCCTCGGTGCTCGGTGGCTGTGTTGTGCGGCGGTGTTGACGCAGCTGAGGCCGGTGAGTGTGAAGCGCTGACAGGACGGACGCTGGTTGAGAGAAGCCGTCGGCGCACGGAGCCCAGTGAAGTGTGTCTGCAGCAGCGAGCATAACACTGGATTACCATCACACAGAGGTAAGCATGTTCCTGCTCAGGACTACTGCTGCATGTCGCTGCTGCCCAGGCTCTTTATTTTTTTCTGGAAATGTATTATTATTCCATGTCTACCTATTTGGGCTACATTGGCACCATAAAAGCTGACTTTGTGATATTATCGTTTGATGCAAAAGCAGCAGCACTTAATGCATTTCTTATTCAGCATTCAGTCATTTAGTGTGAGTTCAGCAGACTTTGTCAAACATAAGTGCTTTTATGAGTGAGTCAATTTTGATTTTGCATCTCAGCAGAGAGGCGCTCTGGCTGTGGGACAGTTACTGCAGTACAGAGTGATCCATACAGTGGGAATGCGACCCGCCATGGGTGCCGCACTCTTGAGCTAAATGCCCAGGAGAAAAGCCAAATGCTCAAGTCTGGGAATTAAACGCTCCCCTACTTTACATCATGTTAAATACCATTAACATAATTTATGAAAAACATAGATTAATTAATTCTCTCTGGCGTGGTTGTTTGTGTAAGTTGGCAGGTAGCAGTAAGGCTCATTAGCGGTTGTCATTGTGAGTCATAGGGAGCAGACTACAGGCTACTCCACATGCATACAATAAGGCTGTGACATCAGGACCATGCGCTTAATGGAATGCATCTTATGCGGCATGGAGGTGTCAGAAATAGTTTACTGAATAGTATTTCACTGTCATTTTCATCACAATGTTGTCAAATGAGGCTGCAGCCATTTCGATTGGATGAAAATGCATTGTGAAATTGAATGCAGAACTAGTTTCAGTCCATGAGGTGCATTAGATTCCCACTGCTGCATTCTTAAGTAGTAATAAACAGGTTGTTATTTTATTTTAGAGGAATATTTATGTAGAGTTTCTCATTTTCCACCTCTTATTCCAGTGGTATCTTTGTAAGTATGAACAGCTGACAGCACAGAGATAGTGTGAGTATTCTCTACAGTTATTGACACAGTGGACTTGAATGTTAAACTTCATGTTCTAGCTGACAAACAGGTCTGCCTGAGACCTCATAACGAACAGCATGTGACATGAACAAATGCCTCGAAGCACAAGTGTAGACCTATACAGACACTTAGGCAATCAAATATACTCACGTCCTGTACATTCTGCAGTTTTAAGAATTTTGAAAGTACAGAGCAGCACTGGTTGTTGTCTTAGTTTTGAGCTAAATTGCTGCAGCGGGTAAACTTAAAAACACCAGCAATAAAAATCCTCTAAATTCCAGCATATTTAGCATATTTCTGAGTATTTCTGAGTGCAGCATGAACTCTACGTCAGTTTATGGATGCCATTAAATCCCAGTAGAAACAGAAAATGAATAATCGCCCTCATTGCAAAATTTGTGTCTCCGCTGCCAATGAGCCATGTCTGTTTCCTCTGTAACTCAGCAGATGTATTTGTCTTGTTTGTCTGTGTTTTCATTCATACTTTTACTACAACCATGGTTTCTTTTTTACTCTAAAGGATCTAAGTAACATGACGCTTAACAAGCTTGATAAAATATTAACCCCAACACAAATAATTAATCAAACTGCTTCAAGGACATAGGCAAAGCAGTCTGGCTGATTTTCTTCAAAATCCTGCTTTCAGTGCTTTGTTATGTGGGCAGCACATTTCAGAATATCACACTCTCTTCTGCTTGTGTTATCATATAGACACTTTTAGTAAAGATAGTGTATCGAGGCAGTGTTTACTCAAGAAGAACAGGACCTCCATTAGCTACATGTTAAAGGACTGCGTGTGTGTTTGATCAAGACTCAAAGAGTTATTGTTATGATTATAAGTGCTATGCACTGA